ACCAAGTTTTACTAGAATACCACCCTATAGCCTTCTATTACTGTGTAGTTTAGGCTTTTATCCACCATGCAACATTGGAACTAACGTGATGTAAATTTCATCATTTTAAACCAAATACATAACATTAATTTATAAACAACATACTTTTTTTTTTATCAGGCTGGAAAATCAATAGGTACGACTGCATACAGCGTTAGAAAACTAGATAAGAAGGCATTTGGAATACCTTCAAAGATGAAAGAGTTTGATAAAATGGCAGATTCTGGTTCAGATGAGTTTACAAAAGTTAAAAAAAGTAGAACCTTAGGAGAAGGAAGCATGGAGTTAATCCGCCCAAGCAGCGCGGAGTCTAAAAGCCACGGCTCCAAAACAGCAAGTCAAGAGGACGTCCGAGAAGCCGATGGGAAAAAAAGTAAAAAACCTCGGGACGATGGCTTGCAGTTTCTGGACGGTGTGGTGTACATCGATGACGGAGAAACGTACGTCCAAGAGAGGGTGAAGTGCATCGACGGGATTGTGTATATTGAAGACGGTAGATCGTTCAAGGAAGACCGGGTGCGGTTTATCGATGGGGTTGTGTACATTGACACCGCGTTAGAGGATGAAGATGCGCATGAAATCGAAGACGAGGCGGAGGAACGGAGAGGTAAGAAACGCGGGGGGAAGAAAAGAGATCCGTCCCGAACGAAGGAGATCGACGAAGATGAAACCCAGCCGCGTGATGAGATGGACGATCGAGGAAGAAAAAAGAAAGCGAAGTCCCGCAAAGACAAAAAAGCGGGAGAACGAGATTCTCATAGAAGAGATTCTCTCGGGAGTAGGGAAAGTGATGTAGAAATCGGAAAGGAGGACGCGGAAAAGGAAAAGAAACGAAAGTCGAAAGGGAAGAAAGATAAGGAAAGCTTAGAGGAAGCTGAGGTGATTGAGAAAAAACCTTCTAAAGGTAAAACATGGCAGGAGATAGTTGCGGATGAACAGAGTCCCCCGAACACGTCACGGGAAGTGAAGATTGGGGTGAAAGAAAGACAATCGGCGATCGTCGCGCGTCTTCAACTCCTTCAGGAAGAGAAAAAAGCTCTACGACGACGAAGATGAAGACGACGATGAGTTAATGCCAGATAAAACTACCCGGATAATCCGCCATGGGAAGAAGCCAAAAAAATCGATAACGAAACGCCCGAAGATTCTCAAACCAAAAGACAAAGTGTCGCCCGTCCCCCACATTACAATCTCGAATGTGGACGGCGAGCAAGCCGAGGACGACAGCGAGAGAAAGTTATCGATAATATCTACTTTCGATGAGACAGAAGTCGCGGTCGGGGAGGAGGAATCGGAGAAGTCAAGCTTGGAGACGCCAGTGAACGAAGACGATCTGATGGAGATTGAGGCACCAGTCCGGCGCATATCTCGGGTCAAGTACGACATCACGTCCAACCTTTTCGATGCGATCCGGAGGGAATCGTACGCTGAAGGCGTGGTAAGTGTACCGTTGGATCTATTTTTGTCATTCATCGTTTGATCTATTGTTCTCACTCATCGTTGGATCTATTTTTGTCATTCATCGTTTGATCTATTGTTGTCATTCATCGTTTGATCTGTTTTTGTCAATTATCGTTTGTTCTAAGCCAATTTTACTTTGTAGATATATCTTCATTTCACTCATCGTCAGATCTGTTTTTGTCATTCATCGTTTGTTCTGAGCTAATTTTACTTTGTAGATACATCTTAACTTTACTTATTCCATCTTGACTTAAGATAATGGAGATATTAAACAAACTAATCTAGTGTTTTTTTAATCTTTCCTCGTGTATTTAGCTTGCTTCACTTTATAACGAATAAGCTCTACACACCTGTCAAAGTAAAGACAATTAAGACATTTAAAAACTAGAACTAGTTTTATCATTCCGGTTTTCTGCCGGTTTTACTTTGTACGAATACATTTACATAACTCTATCATACAATTACTTTAGTATTTGTATAGTTTAATATTATTCTGTACATTTTGAGTTGTCTGTGTTTGGCATTATACATTTTAATTTTGAAGTCATTATTTTTTTAACTTAGACGACCACTATAGGCCTGTATTGTATAGCTGTGTAGTTCGGGAAATCTGCCCATGGTAAAATATATGATTGTCGTAAATAAACATTTCAACCACAGAGGCTAGTAGGTTATAACACTTTGGAATTCGAGCGAATATCAATTACCCAAACGACAGTACATATTGATAACGTTCTCCGAATGACAGAGTTATCTACTGAAGTCCACAAGATAACAAGATATTCAGACGAAATTCCTCAAATGTCAGAAAATCAATCCAAATGTCATTTCCCATATTACATGGCATTCGCACTGCACATGTAGTGCAATGACCATCAAATCACCTCAATAATTCTCAGTGGCGTAGCGAGGTCGGGCGTCACCCGATGCGGCACTTAATGGTGTCACCCCAGAGGCGTAGCGACCCTTCCCGGCACCCGGGGACAAACCAAACTTTCAATTTTCGATTTGCGCCCCCCCCCCCCCCCACCCCCCTCAAACATTCTACCCTTGTCGGGTTTTGTCAAATTTGCTCTTAAAAGACTTTTTAACACTCGAAATAATCACTTAATTAAGTGGAATTATCATTTTTCTCTATATATATTGCTATTTTTTGCCTTGGTGTCACCCCCCCCCTCGCTAAGCCGCTGACAATTCTTTATATTTCCTACTAAAGATAGATAAAATTCACTCATTTTGCCTGCATATTTCTCTCTCAAGGAAGACATCCCAAGGCCTCACAGAAAGACGTCCGCCCTCTTGCTGGCTGCACAGAAAACGTTGTCAAAATCTTTCAAATCTCAGCAGTCACTGATGAGCAATGTATGTTGACATCTTTTACAGGTCGCTTTAAGAATAGTCTAACATACAGTGCTGCTAGGCATGTTAATTTAGATGTAGCGCTTAGTCAACAAGAATGAAACCTTTGGATGCGTCTTTTTCAAAATCATGATTATTACTTTATATTTTTAACATAACAAGTTATATATATATATATATATATATATATATATATATATATATATATATATATATATATATATATATATATATATATATATAATATATATATATATAAAGTAGATGGGGTAGAATTCATATGTTCTGCAACATTACGATGTGTTAGCAAGCAATAAACCCAGCCTTCTTTAATCCAACCAAGGGGTACCCACTAGAGCTGGATGGATTCTGGAAGGTCTTATAGACTCACATATCGGGAACCGAACTCGAGACTTGGTGGTTCGCGGTTAAGTGCTCTACCTCTAGACCATATTGGCTTGATGCTAATTGTGTCAGTAAGAACCGTTATTCGACAGTTTTGCTGGATGCACGGCACTTCGCTGTAGTCACTGAATGACGTGGGGGTGTGGTCTGATTAGTGAGGGTGTGGTCAGATAAGGGGGGGGGGGGTGTGGTCTGATTAGTGAGGGTGTGGTTTGAGTAGTGGGGGTGTGGTCTGATGTGAGGTCTGATTAGTTGGGTGTGGTCTGATTAGTTGGGTGAGGTCTGATTAGTTGGGTGAGGTCTGATTAGTGGGGTGAGGTCTGATTAGTGGGGTGTGGTCTGATTAGTGGGGGTGTGGTCTGAATAGTGGGTGAGGTCTGATTAGTTGGGTGTGGTCTGATTAGTTGGGGTGTGGTCTGATTAGTTGAAGTGCGGTCTGATTAGTAGGGTGTGGTGTGATTAGTGGGGGTGAGGTCAGATTAGTGGGGGTGTGGTCTGATTAGTGGGGGTGTGGTCTGATAAGTTGGGGTGAGGTATGATTAGTGGAGGTGCGGTCTGATTAGTGGGGATGCGGTCTGATTAGTGGGGGTGTGGTCTGATTAGTGGGGGTGAGGTCTGAGTAGTGGGTGAGGTCTGATTAGTGGGGTGAGGTCTGATTAGTGGGGTGAGGTCTGATTAGTGGGGTGAGGTCTGATTAGTGGGGTGTGGTCTGATTAGTGGGGTGAGGTCTGATTAGTGGGGGTGTGGTCTGATTAGTGGGGGTGTGGTCTGATTAGTGGGGGTGTGGTCTGATTAGTGGGGGTGTGGTCTGATTGGTGGAGGTGTGGTCTGATTAGTGGGGGTGTGGTCTGATTAGTGGGGGTGTGGTCTGATGTGTTGGGGTGTGGTCCGATTGGTGGAGGTTTGGTCTAATTAGTGGGGTGAGGTCTGATTAGTGGGGTGAGGTCTGATTAGTGGGGGTGAGGTCAGATTAGTGGGGGTGAGGTCTGATTAGTGGGGGTGTGATCTAAATAGTGGGGTGTGGTCTGAGTAGTGGGGGTGAGGTCTGATTCTAAATGTCGGGAGTCTGAGTCACTGAAATAATATAGGACGAACATCTATAGTGTTGGTCAAGATATTCTTGTTCTCACAGCTCCCAACGTTTTGATTATAATGCCTGTATTACCAAACAATGTATGACGACACATCTGTACTTTTTGTCAAGACTTTCTTTCTCGATGTTGTGAGGATATTGCCAGTATCACTAAACAATATTGGACGAGCATCAGTACTGTCCAACAGCACGATCTATATATATATAATTCTCTTCTGGGAGCCGTTAGAACACAAGCTGCAAGCGCCTCCTTGCAGTCCCCTCTCTTTCTCTCTATTACTATCACTACCACCACTACCCCACCCCCACATTGTCTGGTGAGCTGTGGTCACGCTGTTTACATTTTACAATCATAGAGACGGGTTTGGTGACGGCTATTAGGTGCAGATAATTTAGTTTGAAACGATTTTTAACTTAGAGGAGGTAACTAAGAAGAGGCTGCTTTCACTTGGGGGGGAGGGGGGGTTTAGTGTTTTTAAGCAAATATTTTCAGTGGCAGCATTGGTACTGTCGAATTCACAAATTATAAATTACTGAAAAGTAGAAAAAAAAAACTAAATAGCGGCGTATGATACGCAGCGGGTCGGCTCGTTGTAATAATTTGACTAACCTCACCTGTTAATTTGACATATCAAGCATGATAACCTGTGTAACATGGCGTAGAGTTCCCTCATGTTTTTAACACTCATGGAGGTGTGGCCATTACCATGTCCAGCAGCCTTTTCTTACCCCGACTCAAAGTAGATAACCATCTATTCCAGGAACCGAACTCGAAAATAATTGGTTCATACACGTTAGCTCTACCACCCGACCAGACGGTTACATTTTCATGAATAAAAAACAAAGCTAATGTAACGCTATAGAACAAGGCGTGCAATAGAGTAGATGGGGTAGAGTTCACCTGTTTCAGTGACCTCGGCATATGAAAGTATAATGTTGTTAGTTTTATCACCGCCTTTACTTTCCTACACGTGAACAAGATACCCATCAGAACTGATTGGGTGAATTCAATTCCACACTATCCGGGATCCGAACTCAAATTATCCTCTCTAGTATCGGAACACAACATCCTTTTGTTTTATCCCTAGAACTAGTTTTGATAAAGATATTGCTCTAGAAAATGTTTACACTCTTTTACAGATTACCAAAGAAAAAGCCGAGGGAGCCGGGGAAATTTTCGAGAAAGCATTCGACGACGACTTCGTGTATTCTTCAACTATGGATGCGAAAAAAGACAGTATCGCGGTAAGATACCCCTCCAAGAATGAACTCGCCCTCAACGAAATAACCTTCGCACGGATGTACCAAAGGGAATCCAAGCTGTTTGATGATCTATCCATCAAAAGCGACTCCACTGCCGATTTGACCACCCCGTCCCTAGGGACGACTATCCAATCTGGTTTCGCGTCGATTAGGTCCTCTAAGGTGGAGAAGGCAAAAAAAATTCACTCGACCAAGAGTTTGGTGGACAGGTTCAAGATAGACCCCCGGGTTCAGATGGAGAAGAGGAAGGCGAGCATCTTAAAGCAGTCAGCTATGGAAAGGGCCAAAAGACTACGTAACTTCAAAGGGTGGGACGCGGGCAAGGAGCTTCCCGCCCATAAAATGGATCGTCTGCCGACTATTGCTGACATGTCGAAGGATATTCTTAAGGTACGTGCCGTCTAAATTAAGGCCGTCGTTAAAAAAAGTTAAGTTTCCCTTTCAAACCTGAAGGTCTATGGGGCAAGTGAAGTAGTTCACTTGTTTTTGTGACCTCGGCATATGAAGAGATAGTGTGGTCAGCACTATGCCCAGCCGCATTTACTCTCCCTAACGTGAGTTAGGTACCCATCAGAGTTGGGTGGACTCAGGGACGGTCTACTGACGAACCCGGATTCGAACTCGTGACTTACGGGTTAGCCGTCCAGCCCTCTACCTCTAGACCACTCCGTCCCATAAGGCTGTTGTTACTAGATCGAAAACGAGGTTGTTTATAGTAAAGTTCTATTTTGAGCCTCAAGGATCATATGGCACATAGAGTTCGTCTGTTTCTGTGACGTCAGCATATAAACGGATAGTGTGGTCAGCACTATGCCCACCCACGTTTCTTTTAGCAGGTAGAACACAAATATTTTATTCTTATTGACCCTTTGAAATTAGGTTGTTATTATTTACAATAATTTGTATGTGTTTATTCCGTGAAAAACTGTGTCAAAGAAATACATGTGTTTTAAAAGTATTTTGGTCATGAAATATTAGCCCGTAAACAATTTTGTTCCTAAGAATTCTGTGTGCTATAGAGAATTTGTGTTCTTCAACTATTTTGCTGTTTATCAAATTTTGTACTAGACATATTTTGTTATTGAAATGTTTTGTCCAATTGTTATTTTCTTAGAATATTTTGTCATGGACATATTTTGCTATGGATATATTTTGCCATGGACAAATTTTGTCATGGACATATTTTGCCATAGACATATTTTGTCATGGACATATTTTGTTATAGACATATTTTGTCATGGACATATTTTGCTATGGATATATTTTGCCATAGACATATTTTGTCATGGACATATTTTTCCATAGACATATTTTGCCATGGACATATTGTGACCTACATATGTTTGTTCTTTCCTTACTTTGTCTTTGAAATAATTCATCTGGGATTTGGCTCAATGTGTATTATATGACACATACTTATCTGACATTTTACCCGAGTGTTCTGACATTTAAATGTTTCATAAACCTAAGCCCTACTCACTCTTCAAAAACTCGACCCAGGAATCATTAAGCATTATACTATTCGCTCTATCAATTGACCACTATATACCCATACCTAAACCACTAACTCGCACAATTAACAGTCTTGTAATCTCATTCCATGGGACGAAATGGTCGAGCGGTACAGAGCTGGACTCCCAACCCGTAAGTCTCGAGTTCAAATCTGGGTTCTCTTCAATAGAGCGTCCCTGAGTCCACTCAGCTCTGATGGGTACCTAACTCACGTAAGGGAAAGTAAACGCGGCTGGGCATAGTGCTGACCACGCTATCTCTTCATATGCCGAGGTCACAGAAACAAGTGAACTCTACTTCACTTGCCGTATAGACGGTCAGGTTTGAAAAGGGAACTTAACTTTAATCTCATTAATCTTATTCCATCCACTCCTCTAGATGATCAAGAAGAAACAAGACCGTATTGAGGCGATGGGATGTTCACAAACTGCAGAGGAATTCCCTAAACAACCTGATCTAGAGGGGCGTCTGTACGCAGCAAAGTTCGGCCTAGAAGAACTGTTTGAGGTCAAATAATTTTTTTAAAAACTTAAATCCGATATCCTAACTACTTTGGGGACGTAGTGGTCTAGCGGTAGAGAGCTGGACTGCTAACCCGTAAGTCTCAAGTTGAAATACAGGTTCAAGTCAGTAGACCGTCCCTGAGTACACCATACTCTGATGGGTACCTAACTCACGTTAGGGAAAGTAAAGGCGGCTGGGCATAGTGCTGAGCACACTCTCT